TCAATCTCCTGATTTCTTTGGAACTATGAAAAGATGTTAATAAAAATCTGAAGATGTGTGGTGAACAATTTCAACAGCTTCTTTTTGTAAGAAATCTGAAACTTCCTAACTCAAATTTTGTAAATAAACTGGACAGGAAGTGGAAAAGGTGTGGATGAGAAGAAAGAAGAATAAGACAGCAAGAGTAAAGGGAAACACTGGACTAAAGACTATGCCAAATTCAAAGATCCCAAAGCCAAATATCTCGTAGATTAGCAAAGGTTTTTGATAATCCCAAAACCTGTCTGGACAGAAAGTAAATCCACAAATGAAATGAATCACTGAGTGCTTCAAATAGAACCACCATGGTTGCTTCTACACTTGAAAGGATGGAAGAGCAAATAATGAGGGTAAAGTAGGGGGCATTGACTGGAAAAAACGAGGCAACACCCGAAATGAAAATGTGCTGGAGTACCTCTCTTCTGAATATGAAACACTATGGATGAAATTCCTGCTAAAACAAAATTGCACAAGAAGGAAACACATTGAAGTCTGCTGAAACATTTTTGGGGGCTTGCAACACAGCACAAAAGACGAGTGGTGAAGAAACTTAGAAGCCTCATACTAAATCAGCAAGAGGAACAGCAAAGTAGAAAATGAAATTAACCTTACTAAAAGAGACTACTGAACAACAGAGCTGCATTGAATAAGAAAGTCTCAAAATGAAACAAATCAAATCATACAAGGGAAAAAACTGATAAGAAGATAAGTAAGAAGAACATGTGGAAAGACTATCTCCAAACAATAATCTGATTATCTAGAACTTCAAAAGAAAGATGTGTTGTAGAAGATGAACACCACTAAAAGGCCATCTGCATCATGAATGCAAGGAAAGTGAAAAATGTTAACAATATGATTTATTATAAAGGCATCACCAATAATCCAAGTATCAGAAAAAGGTGGAAAATATAAAAACTCAATTACTGAATTATCTAAAATATCACTAGTACCCTCAGGCATAACGAAATCCACTCAAGATTTAAAAAAAGATACCAAAAAAAAAGCAAAAAAAGACCAGCTGAGCAGAAAAATCCTGCTCCTCAGTCAAACAAGGTAAAATAAGCCTTTGTAAAAAGTCAGTCTTGTTCAGCCATGTGAGAAAAAGGAGCATGTCCCTCAAATTGGGTGTTCAATATATCAGGAAACATTACTTGGTCATCAAAAATAATCTGGGATCAATGGCTTTAATGCTTCAATGAGTGCAACCATGAGATTTCCTGGTAAAATAGAAACAACCTGTTTGTACAAGGCTCCCAAAAATTCAGAGAGATTGTAGAATTTTCTGTACTAATGAAATGCTAACAAAGGCATGAAATATATACAGCACCTCTCAACAAGAACAATTTGATTTGTGGTGGAAAAGCAGAGCTTATAATTTCCCTGACGCTTGAACAATAATTAATGTGTAAGGTAGTAGTGTTGAGAACTTTCAACGAGGTGACACATTATGCATTGTGTCAAGGACATGCAACAGAAGTTTAGGAGGAGTTAAATTACAAGGGTTGAAGGTCAGTACCTTTGTGAACATATTGAGCCAAAATAATATAGTAATGTATATAAAATAGGTGTACTTCGACTATTTAAGAAGTGCTTTCATATATATGGCTTTGTTTTACTCCTTTTGCATGTTCTACAGAGGGATGAGTATGTTACATAAAAACAATTTTGAATATGCAAATCTACAAGTCAACAAAAATCACAGCTGAAGGAAAATGGTGGTGGAACCGAATGTATCATTTCAACATTGTTCAATGATTCAAAGTTGATGTGATGCCACCAAAACTTGATCACTTTTGGGAAAGATATGCAACTGCCCTTTCCAATGCAAAATATTCATACATTCAAATAATAAAAATGTGTTCAGGTCAAGATATAGAATTTCCAAAACACTGGAAAATGGATCAACTTGGGGCACCAAGACAATCCAGAGAAAGACCATCAACAGATTAATTCTCTCAATTTCGGTCAATTTCACCGACCACGAAACCTCTTTGTACTCATTTAAAAGTCTTTACAGATTTAGTACTTCAAACTTTTAATATAGTGTGTATATCTTCCACAAAATGTGGCAGTCTTTAAGTTAACATTATAAGTCTTTCACATTATAAAAAACATATTTTTTAGTGAAGTGTTTTTAATAAACTAAAATAAAAATATGTCCATGAATATATTGAGTATTTGTTTTGAATAGACTGTGTGCAAAGTAATTTTCATTTTAAGATTTAAAATACATTTCTTCATCTCAAATTTCCTTTTGTATTCCCTAATACCTCGTAAATACATTTCAAACGTATTTTTCAATAAAATGATATATTTTATCTGTTATTTTCTCTACCCTATCTCTATACGGGATCAGTCAATTTGTCTAACATCATAACCACCAAAAATAAAAAAAATCTAAACTACCCTTTTTTTTCTTTCTAGAATGACTTCATACTGTAAGATGAAACTACATTTGTTTATCTTAAGTAGCTTGTAACAGTATACATCTATTTATAATTAAGTTTTATTGTTTTATTGCCCTTTGAACTGTATAAGTTGTAAATCACTTGGGGAACGTGTAGCTCACTTTACATTATTAAATTACATTACCCATGAGCTGCTACAAGCTGTTCACATGTGTACCTTGTGAAACATTTTTATTATATTATTATCTATTTTACCTAACTTAATCTTACCTAACCTAAAATGATTCATATTTTTACATTTAAATTACTTTTATAATATTCTTCTTTTTTCTTGCTATTGATTGTCAATGACACTTAACCCCCCCCCTTTTTTTAATACTAATGGTAGTAATGCACCAAATAATTTATATTTAATTAAGTAATGCACAAAAGAACATTACTAATAACATGCAAAAAGTATACAATTTCCATTAACTCTCAAAATTTTTGGCTTTCTAATAATGCAACAAGAGCCGTTAGAAGTTCATCCAAGCTAGTCATTAGCTTTCCTATGGGAATGGAGCTCGCACTCTGAATGAATTTGATGATTATCTGTTCAGAACACAATGTTATGCATACTTCGATAGATGAAAACCTTGACTTTCTATCGGAAATACGTAATATATAATTAAACGTAAGAGAGAACTATCAACAAATCCTGAAAAAGAGGATGTGACAGAAAGGTTCTGATTTGCTATTTCATAGCTCTGTAACCAAACAAAATTTAAGGTTACAAAAATTATAGTTTATCTGAGCAATGATGATTTATACTGGTCAAGTTGAAAGGGACAGTGCTTAAAGATATCTGTGCAATTTGACTGTTAAAACATGTGATGCGAAAGCATTGTCCTTGTACACTACATGATTTATTGAAAAGTTGAAGGGAGGAGTAATGTCCTTTGGACTTGATAGCCTTTAGACAGAGCCTTTTGCAATGGAAATTAGACTGCAGAGGCAGAGTCATCTGACAGAGCATGACTGAGTGTGGTGACAGGGACTTTAATGATATAGAAAACAAACTGATTTTAATAAAACGTACTCAACCTCTGTAGAAACTTTGGTACAATACTAGTGAAACATGAAAAGTAAATCTTTATGACCAGATAGACGGAGTGGTAATGGGATCACCTCTAGGTACGACCATGGAAAATATTTTTTATATGGTATTACAAACATCCATGGCTGGATAACTGCCCCTTTATTATAAACCAGTATAATATAGAAGGTACATTGATGATACTTTTCTACTCTTTTCCCAACATTGATCACACCAAACAGTTTTAAGAATACCTACACTCACAATAACCTTACATGACAGATGAAAGAAAACAATAATTTAGCTTTTTTAGATGTTCAAATAAGCAAAAACCTCTTTACTACATCTATTTATCACAATAAAAACATTTACTGGCTTATACACTCATTTCAACAGTTTTGTACCAGACTCCTTCACCCATAACCTTGTTCTAAATCTCCTAAACAGAGCATATAATACCTCTTCTGACTACTTCTGTCTTCACTCAAAAATTCATAACATATTACAAAGTAATGGTTATTCCCTTAATTTCTTACACTCTATCACATGAAAATTTTAACAAATAAAATAGAACCTACCAAAAAGTCACACACTGTCTCAAAATATCCACTAGTTCTTATCATTCCTCTCCTCAGTAAATAGTTTTAAACTCAAATATGAAATTCAAAAAAGAATCAAGATATATTACCCATAAATTAAGCTACGTTTAGTATTTACATCAACATTTAGAATTAAAAATATTTTTTAAAACCAAAGACCCTCTGCCTATCCCTATGCACTCATGGGTCGCATATAACTACACTTGTAGTAACTGAAAAGCTACCAATATTGGTAAAACTACATGTCACCTACAAATGCATGCACATTAGAACATGGGAATTTCAGCAAGAAGCAGATATAAGCTAAGTAATCTACCCAAGTCTTGTATACGATTGTACAGTGAGGATAACAACCACCCCATACTTCTAGAAAACTTTAAAATTCTTGACTCCAGAACCACAGATTACAAACTTTTTATTAAAGAAAGTCTCTCCATTTTCAGTGATCACCCAACACTAAATAATAGAATCAACTACTCCCTGTTGTCATTGATGTAATCGATTCCAGATTCTCATTGTTTTTATTTGATATTTATTAGTATTTTAACGATACAGCCTTTCTCTATAATAGTTTCTTTTTACAATTTTATATATTAAACAAGTGTATGCTGCCCGTTGTATCGTACATTCAATTATATTGTTACCGTTTAAATCTGTTCTTTCTAAACTTCTGACAGAATATGAACACTCACTCAGTGCTAGTGTTTTCTGTAGTTCAAATATTATGAACTAATTTTTTAAGATATTAATGCTGATTCAAGGAAATTCTGAAATATCCGTACTGCAGATGTTTTTTGGTATTACTGTGTTTTTAATATCTATCATACTTGTTTTGTTATACAACAGGATAACTATGAGAAATGCTCACCAAACACTTACCAAGTTCATGTTCAATAGTAGTGGGACCAGACACATGAGATAAATGAGGTGGTGGAGAGGCACTCAGTCGTTGGTGCTGAACTTTGGCTAAATCTTGGAGTAAGCCACAAGTCTCATTTAATTTGTGCTGAATTTTCTGGTAGCTGCCTTTGTTGCTTTGTTCTTGTCTTTGTCCATCTGCAGTTTATAAAGGATTGATATATATTACTTTTAAAATTATTACAAAAGTAAGACACTAAAACCTTGTGTCATGTGCAGTAAAGGATACCTGTGGTGATAGGGTTAACAGCAATACATTGAATAATTTGTTGTGTACATTTGCTGTTAAAGGTATGTCTCGTTATGAAAATTGATTCACTTCACAGACTGAATAATCAGCAAAACACTGTTATTTGTTTTAACTAAGTTCAGAATACCACTTCTTGCATTAACATACACATGTACAGACAATCTACACAATAGTCTTCATACTTCACTATAAAATATTTCTATCAGAATTCTCAACCTGAAGTTAAAACAGTATGCAAAGTCACAATCAGCAAAACTTCCACTAATGTTTTTATTTTAAGAAAATATCTGATTACTTCCAATAATAATCACAAAATCATACAGCTCAGCTATTTTAAATTTATCTTTGTAAAATTCTTGAAACTGAACTCCACTAAAAACACTTAACTAAAGTCAAACTAACCATGTTTTACAGCATCTTACTTCCATAACTAAAAAACACAAGAAAAGATGAAAGAAAATGACTTGGCCTGTCTTCTCATGAAGAATGAAAATCCTCTATTCTCTTTAATACTTTAAAGTACCTTAAAGATAGCTTTCACAATCATACAACTACTGAAGAGAATTTTATTAATAGGCTTATTTTGCTTCATATTGATTTGCTGACTAAGGACTAAAATTACTTAAACTATACACATTGTATTTTATTATACAGGAAAGATAAATTCTATGTATACTAAAGAAGAGAAAAATAATATACTTAGTATATGTAATAAAAGATAAACAATATATTGTAGGGAAATATAAATGTAATGTCATAAATCAACCAATTCCTGGATGCAATTCTATTTCATCATATAAACACAGAAATATTAATTTCCATTTAAAAATTTAATTTGGTAATTAAATGTTATCATTTGTATATCTAATCTTTAAGTAAAGGAAGTTATTATAATGTTAAATTTTCTGCCACAAATTTTTAACCCCAAAAATAAAATACTTTTTAATCAGTCTTATCCAAAAATAAAAATAACAAATATTAACTTAACTAACACTTCTGTCATTGCTAGTATTACTATTAACAAAATCATCATATCTGCTGTCTTCAGGTTCTGACCCTGAATAATACCCATGAGTTGTGTATGTCACTACAAGTTCCATTGCTACTATATGAAATCGGTTAAACCAACATTTCTTCCAACTTGCAATAACTTAGTAAATGAAGTTTGCACTAAATGGGTTCATGTACATATCTGCATAATCAGCAAACACATTTCCTTTCATTTCTTGATAACATAAATATGCAGATATAATTTATGCCTACACACCATGAGGTATGAAATTAAAATAGCTTGACGTGTTTAGATTATCATGCATTGTGTGTTGTGAAATGAACAATTTCATCAGCATTTCTGATTTCGTCAATTTCTGGCATAATAACTCATTAATCAATCAATGGACATTTCATATAAAGTATTATACATTCTCTAAGTGTTAATGCTAACAGTAATTTCTCACTTGAATTGCATTGAATATAAACAATGACTCTACGGCAATTATTGCCGCATCCAAATACCTCAAATTATGACAAGCAGCAGCTAGCTATAGTTGAAACAAGTTAAACTAGTTATCCAAAAATGTAGAAACTTTTGAAAGATCATATTTATAAATTAATTAAAAATAAACTATAAGTAAAAAGGTACAGATGCAAAATTATATATATGACCCAAAAAAGATATTTTAAGATTATTCAACAAAGAATTAAAAAGTATGTACATATTTCTATTTCTTAATTTTAAGTATTTCATTGCACTGTACATTGATGATAATAGCTAGAATTAGTGATGTTGTAGAGAAAGTAGCAAATAAAATATAAACATTTCCTTTTTAAAAAACTTTTGATATCCATTTAGGAGGTTCTACAGATTATGAAAGTGAAATGTGAAAATTGTAAGATAAAAAATCGTATTTTCATACTTAACATTAAAATCACCTTGCAGGTGAACTATTCAGAGATCAAGTGCATTAAATAATGAATTTTTGGTAGAAATAGTAGAAAGAAATCAAAATGAAATATTTTATTTTTCTCAAACTACATACTTTTATGAAAGTTCATGTTGAGTTTTAAGCAATTTTATCCACTGGTTTTATTATTGGAAGGAAATTTAACAAGAATTATGTGCTGAAGTATGAAGTATGTTATCATTATCTGGTTGAGTATTTTCTTATAAAATTAAGAACTTCAAATCTATATATAAAAATTGGATTTATTAACTATGTTTGATGCCAAGTATATTTGACTACATTGATAATAAAGTAGTTTGATTAAGTTTTAAAAGTAACTATAAATGGTTGTGACACTTGCACATTGATCTGCCCATAGTAAGAGGGTTAAATACTAGGAAGGGTAAGGGCTTTCAATAGCTCAAATATTCCATCTATTGTAGTTTTTAATTTGGTTTCATCACATACATAATTTATGATGTCACTTTTCTATATTTTTGAAGTTTCTAAAAAAATAAACAGTCTCATTTGCTTTGCCATAAAATTTCTTAGCTATTTATGCCACAGTACTCCTCCATCCACATCTAAATGTACATAGAAGCTAAAATTTGAAGATCAAGATTGATGGAAGCAATGGATTTGGAATACTTAACCTACCAGGTGAGTGACCAAAGTATCTTTGACTTACCACCCAATTCCAGTAAAGAAGAATCTAATATTCTTTGGGTATTATCTTCATGTTTGTCAGTAGGGGATGCACGTTCTCCAAATCCTGAAGAATCGTTTTCTAAAGAGAATGTCCACTCACTAATATTGTTTGTCTGGTTCAACACTTTACTCACTTTAAGCATCCTCTCATCCTCTTCTTTTATTTTCTGCTTCTATAAATAAACATTCATCATTTTATTATGCCACTTTCATAACACCATGCATAAAATATGCAACATTATTGCATCAAATACAAAAAAATTGTAGTGATATTCAATAATGATGTTCATAAAGTGCATCTAATATCATGTTTACACTTCAACATTAACAAAGCTATCTACTCCAGTTTTAAACAACATTATTATCTGTGAATGAACAGAGCAACTATCTCAACTACAGTTGACCTGAAATTCCATTTTGAATACTTCATCTCACATCTAGAGGTGTCTCATATGTGAAATTTGACAATTTTCTGATACATAAACATATTTTTAATTTTAAAATCAAAATTACTTTGCATTTTGAGTAGTCAACATTTAATAAGAAAAAATGCACAAGCAAATCCTTACTAAAAAATATTAAAACTTAATAAAATAATTTGATATTATGTGTAAGAAAGCCTTGTAATGTTTACTGATAATTTGCAAAATTTCATGAAGTTATAGTATGAAAATTAAAACAAGCACAAAATAGTTACAAAATCAGTCCCTGGTACTGAGCCCATAGTGAGAGAGTTAATGAGATGTATGCTGCCTTTCACTTATCTTCCTACCTACTCCTTTTACTTTTGGAATTTTGTGTACCTGTCCACGTATAAGTATGTTAGCATTTTTTCTTAAATTCAAGTTGTGTCTAATCCCTGGTTTCCTGTGTCAAGGTTGCCTTAGTAAAAATGACATCTTAAACATTGATAATGATGAAGATATTTGTCTGAGATTTCCTAATTTTAAGAAAACTTTCTCATAGTGTAGAATAGTTTTGTAAATCTCTGGAAGAGTTTTGAGAAATCTTTATAACCTCCTAATAACCCGATAATTATAAAACGTTTTTCTTTTTGAAAAAACATTATATTTTATCTGTAATTTTCACTATTTTATCTCTGTATGGGTTTGGTCAATTTGACTGACGTGGTAACCACCATAAAAAATTAGGAAATAGATACAAGCCAAGCTTTTTTCATTCTAGAATGGCTACATATTATAACACAAAACCACAAATGTTTAGTTTAAATAGCCTGAATTCCAACATTATACATCTATATATATTTATTTATTTTCTTGGCCTTTCAGACAAGTCTGACTGATGTTACAGAAGTTGCAATGACGTGGAGCAAGTGCACTCATGTTACTGTATCCAATAGTATAAAAATGACTTTTACAAAGTGACCTGTCTTGGCTTTATTCTAGTGGACCAGTATTTTGTCATGTTTTGGTTATAATACATTACATATGTATATATATATATATTATTACTATTTGGAAATAAATTCTTAAATTTCAGTTATTTACTCATAAAACAGTAAATAGAGAAATACAGAAAACAATTATCTCTTCTACTTATGAAGTATGTACTCGCTTGCTGTAACTTGCTAAGCCTTGTCAAATTTTGCACATGGAGGATGTAAAACAAAATTTTTTAAGGTTTTATATATGAATTTTCAAATAACAAACAATTATAAATTACTACATCAATACTATAGAATTCCACTATACTTTATCAGGCTTATTAACTACGCTGTATTTGGGTTTAAAAAATATATTTCGAGTTCAATTATCTCTTACCTCTCCACTTCAATTCTATCATGAAAAGGAAAGTTTTCCCATGTAAACACATTGCAAATGCTGAGAAAACCATGTGGGGGACATTCTGAGCTTCTAATTGGTTATAAACACGTTATATAGAATGAAGTAGATGTATGTAAGTATTTCCAAAAATGGAAAAGGTGGGCAGGGACACCTTGGCTGATTCACTAAATAATATAATAATATCCCAGAAAGTAAAAAAAATAGAAGGTTCTTATTTTATATTCTAGCTTCACAATATTGATAATTTCAGTTTCTAATTTGTATGAAACTATAGACTTTGTATTTTGGACATCACAAACATTTACTTTAAACTAAAGCTGTATTCAACGTATCACAAAAATGAGTCTAATTTATCAACAGATAAAATAAAAAAATGGAAATTATCATGAATCACACTAGTGTTTCATAACAGGGATCACAGAGGAACTTTCTCAAAACTTTAACAAAACATTCGATCAAAAAACCACCTTAAAAAATATATTCATGAAACAACACTCAAAACCTTCTTTTTCAATAGTTAAAACCACCCAAACATTAATAATAAGCAAAATAAATAGACGATTGTAAAAAAAATCAAAATTCTCCCATTTGTTCTTTTTTTTTCACAAGCCTACAGCAACACTGGCTGGGTATTTTGCACCAAACTTAGACAGATATATTATATGAAGAACTTCAAATTTCCAAGACCTATTCAAAAGTTGATTATTTTTCAATGAAAGTTGATTTACATAGTTATAAATACTTAATAGATGCAATGTTATTCTGAGCAGTTGCTTTCATACTTGACATATGTTAATCATGTGTTTAAATGAAACCTCAGGCACAGTAAATAATTACCTTAAAAGACATGAGGCTATATTAAAGCAATGTTTTAGACATACTGTTTTATTTAAAAAGGCTGCTTTTCTACCAGTAAAAACTTATAAGTGCTTAGTGGAGTTGTGTCTTACTCTAGCCACATATTTGCCCCATTGCTGTACATTAACAAGGCTGGAGCTCTACTGCTGACAGTTTGCTCAAGCTACAAATCCCTATTATGATTCAACTATAAAATTATACCAAGTGATATCTACTATAGTGTAGAATGAAACAAGAATTTTTGCAAAAAACTGACAGAGTAGTTTTGAAATTAATTCGCCCTCCTTAATTTTGTTGTGCTGCAAAATTTTCTAAGTCTCCATTTTCTGCCATAAAAAAATCCAGTGTTTTCCAAGCTGTGCGTTAGTTGGAAACTACAACTCATGCATTTTCTAGCTCATTAGTTGGATACTGCCCCGAAAGGTTCCTGATTTTGCCTGTCGTTATTCTTAGATTTTCATTACTATATTTCAGCAAGTTTTTAACAGTGGATGCTTACCATAGTAGATTTTCATACTCACATGACGGTGATGATTATATCTACTGTTTCTAATGCTTAGCTGAAATCATGAGTGCATATTCAGTATTTATTACCACTACATATAGCCCTATTTCATATAGCTATTTCTATTTCTAAATATGGAGTTAAGAAAGTGCTTGTAAATGTTGTTGATAATTGGCAACTTACAGTGTGTCACTGTTGTCTATTTTGCATGCATTATTTGTGTCGCCTTATTCCAGCAAACACCTGTGCACAGCAGGCTTTTGAAGAACATACCTACGTGTCATGTAGACCTAACAAGGTATGCATGTTACGGAGTCTGCTTACACTGCACTAATCTGTGTTGTATTATCTTAGAAGAAACATTATTCCATTCCAATGAGATAGCTTTGTTGCGGCTTGTCTTTTGTTTCATTACACTGTGACATTAATGGAAGCCAGCCATTAAATCTGTAATGATACAATCTTTGTCTGTAAGATGGTCTCTTGAAAACAATTTTACATTCTGTTTGTTGTAGTTACATTTGTTATATATTTTTAATAAGTTCAGTGTGGTGATTGGGTGAGAAAATAGCCAATGCAGCAGTAATTTATTGAAAAATATGTAACATTCAACTGAATGCATATGTAGCTAAAAATTCATCCCCCATAAATGGACATAAACAACTTAAGAAACAAGATTAGTAAAAATTGTTAATTTGAAAAGTGGGTATAGGGATCGTCAAAAAAGTGCAGGAATAAGTTAAAGCAAAATTAAAAGATTTTCAAGCATATAACTAACAAACAAGACTGGAAATAGTGTCTACATTATTTTCTCAAGCTAAAAATCCCTATTTTGACTCCAGTAAAATTGATAAGTACTGCAGACATGGACTCAACTTTCAGTTGCATATTCCTAACTATATAATTCATTTTGGCAAGTCCAATTGTATGAAAACTATGAAATATCCCCCACAAAATATCGATTTCACTAATATTCAAGTAACATTTAGGTAATAATTTGCTATCGCTTAACTGATGGCACAACACATCCAGATCTGCAAGTTTCTTTTGGTTTTCACTACTACTCATGTTAATGATTGTCTTGTCAAGACGGTCAACTTGGACTTTCAACCAATATTATACTTGTTTGATTGATTTTATCTTTTGATATCCATGTTGACCTCACTTCTGAGATTGTTCCTTGGGAAACATTTATTATTTTAGGTGTTTGTGTCACTGAGAATCAGTCATGCACAAACTCAGTGAGATACAATAATTGAGTGTAATGTTAAATATATGATTATATTTTCTCTATTAGACAAACCAAAACTTCAAATGAAAACAGTGATGTGTTTACATTATTTTGTACAAACAATTTTACTTATATTCATATTTTCCTTTACTACATATTTATGGCTTTAACAAACAATAATCTGAGATGTGTATTTATATTCTGTAGCCAATGTATTAAATATGTGAACAATTTGATAAGCATACAAGTTAATAAAAGAGTTTACATGTTAGTCTCAAAATAACTTGTTATAATATTATTATGAGTTTGAACAAGCAACTATAAAAATGAAACAATAAGGTATCACAGACTTAACATGACACAAACTTGAGGCAACACATTCCACTAGTACACGGATTTAACTAGTTGGTAAACAACAGATTATTTCAGTCTTATTAATAAGATGGCTTAATTACTTTATATATAAATAAAAATTTCTATTTGAAAACAATAAATCGATACCTACTTCATTTAAAATTTTAACAGTTTCAGAGTGTTGTCCACCAGTTAACGTGTCCAAAAGATTATCCACCATTGTCATCACATAGTCACAGTCTTGAGCAAAACCTCTCAAGCTATTCAAAGAACATGATAAAATATACTGTGAAGGTTCCCAGTCAAACACAAAACAATAATTCAAGTTTTTTCTTGACACACATCTCAAGTTTACATATTTACATGTAAATTAAAGAAACAAAATTACACTCTTGTATGAGTCTAAAAAATTAAAAACTTTACCACATAGCCAAGATTAAGTATTGGTAATGTGGATTCTTCTTTCATAGCACCAAGCACTAGCTGAAAAACTCATTTATCTAATTATTTCATTTTATGACATAAGTACAAACAAGGTAATTATGTCTTCCCCCATATGGAGAGAGACAATGTATTTACTATATTTCTACTAACTTCCTTCCAACAATTATTATTGTGAACCACTTTGTTCCTTTATTTCTGGGCCAATTGCTTGAAACTTGAAGGACATACATTCTGGTTCAATTTACTTAGACACCATTTTCACTTTCTTGAAACTGTTCTGATTTTAAGGGGTTAAAGGCAAACATTAAAAAAACATATTCTGGTCTGTAGTTCCCTTATATTTCAATCAATCCTAATGAACCTTGATGCTTGTGACAACCCCCACACACCAAAGCACAGGTTTGAGATTTGTGCCTTTCTTTTGATTGTGCAATGGTCAAAGAGTAAAAAAAATTGCCAAAGCAACATTTTATATTTCCTATTTCTTTATATTTTGACAAATCCAGATAAGACTGTACACAAAGATCTTTTACAACAACTCTCAAAGACTGAAGTAAATGTATTTGAGATGTTTTTCTTGTACTTTTACATGGGTCAAAGATAAAAACATTTTGCACAGGTAGGATTTTAGGTCTATCATTCATTTATATTTGGACTAATCTTGATAAGACTTTGCACAATGCTACCTTGAAACAGCCATGACATACTAAAACAGATTTGGGATTTGTGCTTTTCTTTATGATTTTGCAGGAGTTAAAATTCAAATTATTTCTCAGAATTTGGGTTTTAGGTTTGCCATTCCTCTATATTTCAATCAATGTAGACTTTGTATAAATATATCTTGTGAAAACTCCCATAGATTGAAGCAGACATATTTTGGATTTGTGCTGTTATTTTGATTTTACAGGGGGTCAAAGGTAAAAAAAAATTGCAATGTATTTAATAGGGAGCTCTGAATATAGACATCATTTTTTGCATATGTAAATATTACAAGAGATTGTTATTAAGTTTGAATCAAACAATGCATGAAATTGCATATATAACATTGAAAAATAGATCTTATTTGTCCAAAAATTACCTGCAGTTCCTTTCATTATAAATAAATCTATTTATGCAAAAAAACCGACTGTCCTACATATACTACGCAGTTAGCATTCTCTAATACATCTCTCTCACAAAGATTTCTCAAATTGATACTATGATGAATGTCTGTCTCTATAAGATAAATATTTTGTACTTTATGACCACTTCTCCTGCCTTTAATTCCATACTTTCTTGTGGAATCTGTATTCTAAGGATCTATATTGGATAGATGAATGAAGGGAAGACTTTGCATTTGCTTGTGAATGTTGATCTTTGTAGATAGATTTACATTTAGAAAGACACTTCTATATAAGGGTTATCATCAAAAACGTGCAAAATGAATTATCCAAAAATTACCATATTGCCCCTAATTAATGCCCCCTCTCTAATTATCATCCTCCCCTTTCCTCCAGTTGCAGAAATCAGCAATCAATACTGGTAATTGATAAATGTCACGTAGGCCACGATTTTCCTGCCTTTTTTCACCATAGCAGCAAACTTCAAGGATGTTTCAGCAGTACAGATCAAAGGAGGTAACCCAGTAAATGGTAGGACCACTTTAGAGGATTTTTTGACACTTATAAACAATGATTACCATATTTACTGTGATAATGAGCACCAATGTTTATAACAAAGTTAGAAATTATTAAGCTATGTTTGCTATCGCTTTTTATAGATATATTTGTTTATGACAGAGGTATTATCCTATGACCCAATTAGTCTCTAATTAGCACCCCACATTGCAGTTTGCAATACCACCTGGAGCATTAATTAGGAGTAATACAGTAGCTATTTCTGCAAGAAAACTACATGCAGCACTATTTTCAATGAATAGTTGCAAATTTTAATTATCTGACTGTGAACTTAAATCACTGTCTTTTATCTATCTTACTACTTATAATTTAAGCAATAACACTGATAAATAATAATTTATGGCTCTTAATGTGCCAAGGTTCCAAATGATTGTACTAAAATTAACTTGAATCACATAAAACATGTCATTAGTATACAATTCACAAAAGCTTTATAAAAATGTTAAAAAAAAAGAAAACATTTAAAGAATGGAAGAAGGAAGTTGAAGATATAACACACAAAATCATAATTATTAAACAATGTTATTAAAACAATATTTAGTAAGTAAGTGAAAAGCAAGATGTTAGTGCATATTTACAATCTTTATGCCATAAAATTTTCAAAAAACCATTGTAACTAAAACCTTAGTTTTCAATTTTCTCACTTAAGTCTGAAAATTAACCATGGTAAGATCTGATCAGTTACTAGGACTTAAAAGTAGTTTAATTTCCTGGTCTTTAAACATGATTTTTATTGTAACTAACAAAAAGAACAGGCTATTATGGATACTGTCCTTTCCAGTATTTCAGTGTCTATGCACCAACAGCATAAGGAAATTAAAAAATTATTCACTTATTAAAATAACAAACTTATATTCATGCACACACGATAACAGTAAATAACCAGAAAAAAATCTTAAAATTTATCAAAGCCAAAATGAGAAATTATTAGGCCCGGAGATCAGGAGTCCGCCAAGCCTGCTATAAGCTAAAGATCTTTACACTTTCTGTGGTGCATTCTCACTTATTCCTGGTTCCAAATCTAATATTTTTAATAGTTAATTATCATTATTCATGTTAACATTGTTCTTCCTTAAATTTAATAAAATATACAATCACAATTTTTCAGTGAGCAATCTATTTATATATTTATGTTTAAAGATATTATTAATGGTATTGTACTTCATCATAAACAGCACAGCAATCAGTATGGTTTAGAATTACTAAAAAAAATTATTTTAGTAAGGAATCAATTTATAAAACTTATTGCTCTATTTCTATACTGTTATTTATGTTGCAAGGTTTCTCTCACACACACACAGTAACTGCTAAATAAAAAGATACATTTTACTCAAAAACACCCACACAACTTAATAAATAATGAATATTTAGTTTAAGTCTCAGCTGAGTATGATACGTTCGATATGAAGCAACTTTATTCCTTCCGCTGAATGTTCATCTTGCTCATAGTTATTTGTTCTAGCTTTCTAACCACCTTCTCCATCCTATATTTGTGTGCCACTTTTACTGCCCTTTCTCAATAACTTAAAGATTTCTGTTTGCTCTTTGGGTTTGCCTTTATCTCTCTCTACATGGGCTCGGTCTAACTGACTGACCATGTAAACATTTTGTACTCATTTGAAGTCATTATAGTTTTGATAGTACTAACTTTTAATATAGCATGTGTATCTTCACAAACTTTAGCAGACTTTCAGTAAATATTGTTAGTCTTTCACATACAAAAAAAATACAATTTCTAGTGAAGTATTTTCAATACTAAAAAAAGATTTGTCTGTGAATATATCTAGTAGTTGTTTTTAACTAGTCCAAGTGCAAGTGCAAAGTGATTTTCATGCTAGAATTAAAAATACTTTTCCTCATCTTAAAAATCTCAAATTTCACTTGCATAATATCTAAAACAGTGATTCTGAACATGAGGCGCACTCCCCACAGGGGGGACAATTTGAAAATGCTACAATAAGAAAAACTTTACATTATATTATTATACCTTTTCAACACCAAATTTGTTTTTATATTAAGGGGCATTAAATTTTTGGAGGTGTCGAGGTGGGGCATCAAGCAAAAAAGGTTAAGAACCACTGCTCTGAACCTCTTAAATTTCAAACATTTGTTATCAGTGAAACTTTGTATTTTATCTGTAATTTTCTCTACCCTAACTCTATACAAGGTTGATCAATTTGACTGACCTCATAACTATCATAAATAAAATTGAAATAAATCTAAATTATCCTTCTTTCCTTTTTAGAATTACTTCAAATTGTCACATGAAACTACATTTGTTTATTTTAAGCAGCTTTAAACTCGTAACAATATACATCTATTTATACCTAAATTTTATTGTTTTATTGCCCTTTGAACCATGTCTAACTACTACTTGCACCACAAGTTATAAATCACTTATATCCTCTAAAATATGAATTATTAGTTACTATTGTATACTATATTAATTGGTATAGCATAAACAAAAAGTAACTTATTTACATTTTGAATATAAGTCAGTAAAAACCTATTGACATGCACAGTAAAGGATGCCCGTGAAGAGAGGGTTAATTGATACTATTTAAGTTTTTGTTCTTTTAGGTCTCTTTTTCACTACAATCCATTTTTCTATGATGCAGTTGTCCCTCTTAAATTCAAACATGGAACTTTGTCCACTGATCATGAAAACCATCTTTCCTGTTGAACATATCAACAGCATTCTTGCCACTTGCCTGAACCCAATACTTTACTATCTGTATTGAACCAAAGGTTTCAATGTGAATTTTTGAAACCTTTGTTTGTGGGACAAAAGATTTATTTCTGTACAACATTTTGTCTCTATCAGTGAGACATGATCATGTACAACATTTAAGGTACAAATACTTTCAAACTGGAGTCATTATTTTACAAAAGAGGGTAGATGTGACAACTAATACCTTCACAGCAAGACGAAGCTGGAAACATCTGTTTAAAAAGCCAATGATCACAGGCACAGCCATAGACCTTTATGTGATGAAAGATGGGATGGTGAAGCTGCTAGAGGTCATCTGGATGCTTGGGAATGTATAGTTTACTGATGAAGTGTATGCTATAACACATCACTCTGTAGAGCCAAAATGTTGTAAGGCTGGTGAACTTAACCTTATGTGGATGAGTGGGAG